TTAGAATTGTATCGTGGTGCTACTACTGTCTTACCGATGTGGGTTATCGGTAACCTTGAGTTGTTGGCAGTCACCACCACACGATTGCCTTTGTACTCAGTCAGGTTCTGCAGCTTCTCCTTATCACCTGTCATGTGATTTGAGCAGCCTGAGTCGATAATCCAATCATTCTTGTAGTCAATCCTTTCAGGTGACGTCACAGTGAGAGCTATCTCCTCTTCCTCTATAGCAAGAGATGCTTCCGCGTCCCAATCATCCTCACTTTTCTCCTTTGAGTTGGAAGTAGCAGTATTACTCTCAGCGGGCCTTTTGTTGGACCAACAATCTTTCGCCATGTGGCCCTTCTTTCCGCAGTTGTAGCATTTACCTTCGAATCTTTTAGTATTCTTGGATTGACCACGGTTGCCGTGAAACCTTGAAGCTCCCCCTGGCCGAGAACTTCCTTCTCCTTGATGACTTTTCGCCTTGTCACCATCTCTTTTAGATCCATTACCAAAGTGTTGCTTGAAGTTGCCTTTACTTTTGTTGGAGTAGAGCGCTTCCTCCTCTCCTTTTAACGAGACCCCTCCCATTTGCTTAGCCATAGCTTCTTGATCGGCAAGCAAATTTTCAAACTCAACAAGTGATGGTTGAGTAGGCCACCCTTGTACAGCGGCAACGAAGCCTCGGTATTCGGGTCTCAGACCATGGATAATTATCCTTTTTATCCTAGACTCCACAATAGCAGCATTAGGATCTAAATCAGAAATTTCACGGCATGTGGACTTTACCTTGTGGAAGTACTGAGCAATCGTCATGTCACGTTGTGCAACGGATAGCAGCTCGTTCTCAAGAAGTTGTAGTCTTGTGTCATTCCTTTTTGAAAAGAGTGTTGCAAAGGTGTCCCATGCTTCCTTTGGTGTTTTGGCTTTCCTTATGTGCTCCAACATTTCTTCTTCAATTGTTGTCTTCAGGGCAAACATGGCTTTACCTGCTTTGATCTTCCACTTACGCAAAGCGTCGCTATTGTCTTCTCGTGGTTGTGCAACATCGTTGCCCCCGACGACATCCCAAAGATCTTGACCTTGCAGATAAGACTCCATGCATGTCGCCCACGTGTTGTAATTTTTGTTGTTGAGCTTCGTGATTCCTCCAACTACGTGAAGATCACCCATCGTGTCGGCAGAATTCCGGCAGTACCGAACAAGCTTGAACTAAATATGCAAACTTGTAGAGACAAACTCTTCACGACTCAAAGAAGCTCCCGCAGAATCAGTCACTGACCGTCCCGCTCTGATACCAATTGTTGAGCAAATTTAGAGTACACAACTCTAATGTAGAGACTTGTTGGAGACAAAACAAGTAAACAATTTACTTGTATTAGACTCACAAAATATTACAACAAGACAACTCTCAAAGGAAAGACAAATTCTTACAAGGACTCTTTCTCTCTTCACTCACACTTCTCACAAGAACTACTAACTCTCTAGCTCACTCTACTTATTCACACTCTTCTTGTTGACACACTTCTTGATTGATTACATTGACAAGCTTCATGCCTATTTATAGAGGTAGCAACCGACTTTGACAAAGGATCTTGTAGTTTCTAGGAATTTTTAGAAGGTTTGGTGTTGCTTACTTTGCTGGACTTCACTTGAGAATTCTAGATTGTTCTAGTTTCAATCTGCCAACTTGCTTACTCCACCGACTTGAGCATTTACTTCAGCTATTGTTTTCTCCTATGTATTATTCTAGATATTTCTAGTGGTATTATCACCTTGTTGTTTACACTTCTAGAACCTTGTAGAGATTGCTCCTCAAAATGGGTTGAGCTGGGGTTGATACTTTAACAAAAACATTATTAGCTAGTACATGTACGTATTCAAATTCAACCACCAAATTTAATGGAATGTAGCATATCAATCAAATATACGTCACTCAAAGAAAAAGTTCATTATCACATAGAAAAGATTAACAGCTGATCTATTTTACTTCATGCTCTAATGAACTCCGCAGGTTCAAGCTTTGCAGGAGAAACAGCAGGATCCTCCACAATAGCAACCAAGTCCTCATCCTCCCCATTCAAATAAGCCTTCAAAAACGCCACAACAATCCCACCCACAGTCTTCCTCATGAGCTCCTTCGGACCCGTCCCATTCTTGCACATACAACCCGAAAGTGCCCCAACCAAGCCGGGTGGGTTGTCATCCAACATGTCCATGTGACCATAGTCTTTGACAACAAAATGCGCACATGGAGGCTTGCACTCATAAAAAAACTCCTTGTGGTTCGCGCCATCTGGAGCGCATGGCTGTGACATGCACGCATTCTTCTTTTCCGGTCCAAGGCCAGTGCCAATTACCGTGACCGGAATTGAGAGGTTGAAAGATTGAGGTTCGTAGGTGAGGATATGGGGCTTGGTTCTGCAATGTTGGTTGGCGCCAGCCACGGGGTCAATGCCTATTAGCACTGAAAATTTGAGGGACAGAGCAGTTTTGGCACGCCCAAGTGCAAGTGCAAATGCTGCTTTGCCGCCTCTGCTGTGACCTGATAGAGCAAATTTGGTGAAGTCTGGTACAACATTTTCAGGTAGCAGTGATTGGAGGCCTTTTGCTAACCAGTTTATGACTTTGGCCCCTGAATCTATTTCTTCAGGTCCAGTTGAAGGCACATATCCGTATAGCTAATCGAAGCACAATATAACGAATTAGTCTCTACTTTGTTGGAGGAGGTTGTGAGCTCAAATCTTGACAGTTGTTAGATTTCAAAATAAAGTAAATAAATCATATTAAAAATGTACACTATTTTAATAGTTAGACAATAGTACCTGAGGTGCAACAGCTATGAATCCATGTGAGGCTATGTGTTGGAGAAGGTCTTGGTAGAAGTAGTTGCGGAGGTAGAAGCCATGGAGGAGCACGATTACGGGGTAAGTGCCGGTTACGGTTGGTGTGACGATTAACAAGGGCTTAGGAGGGGCTGAAGAATCAAAACAGGAAGAGCAAGGTGTCTCCTCTGTAATGCATTTGAAGGGGAAGTTCCCTTTGTCAAAAACAGATGTGGCCAGTAAAGGCTGAGCAGCTGACTTAGATTTTTCCACAAGTGCCATGGGAGGAGCTCAATGGTATGTGAGCCTTTGGCCTTGGTTGTTTCTTATAGCAATGCTTATGGTTGCCAAACTTGGCACAAAAATTAAATTTGACAAAATAACAAGAAGCCAAAAGAAAAGGAAAATGAAAGTATATAAACTTGTATACAACAATGCTATCCCCAAGCCCAACCAATCAAGTTTGGCCACACATAATAAGACTTTCACACGACGGAGTGTAATTGGATGAAAATAGCAAAACAATGTCATTTCGTAACATGCAACTCCATCTCAAAGGAGAAGTTCTAGGAACACATGGAAAATGCAACTCTTTTAAAAAAATAGGTCCATTTAACCAGACCAAGTTTCAATGGCAGCTAGCAGAGGTCCGATCAAAAGTGGGCCTACTATGACAAGTTTCACGGTACTATTTCAAGCGGTCTAAATCTAAATGGGCCTACTAGGACAAGTTTCACAGAACTATTTCGAGCGGTCCAAATCTAAAGTGGGCCTAACAAGCCAAGGATTTTAGTACTGCTCTTGTCACCTTGTGTGCCTTGCGTGACAGGCTGTGTTTTATAGTTTTTTATTTTTTTTGGTCGTATGTGCTTTATAGTTTAGTCCCATCTCAAGTGGTGTTATTGTTTGAATTATTTTTTTTCACAATAAAAAAAACTATCAAATAATCTGCACAGAAGATATTGAGAACAAGTAAAGGAAAGTAGTCAGATAAGTAATTAAATAAATTATTTCTTTTAAAAGATTTTTTTTTTAAACTCAAAATAGCGGAGAAAGCATTGATGGGCCTTGAGGTTAATGCCCAACCCTATACAAGCCTCTTGTATAGCTTTTCTATTTGAGCCCAATAACTATCCAAGCCTCTATTTTTCCTTTGACAAACGGATATAGTAAACTACTGTACCCGAAGGGAGATTAAACTCGAGTGCAATTGAGCATGCACATTTTCTCGGCCAAATTGCTTAACCTACATTTGCCAAGTTCACCCCCACATAATTATTTTAACATTAAAACTCACACAATGATTTATAATTTTTTTTAATAGGAAATTTAAAGCAAACAGATCTAAAGAATTGATGAGAAGGGAACCCAAAAAAAATTTATAGATGGGAAAGGCACATAATAATTCGAATAATAAAATAGTGGGGCAATTGGGCCATTTACAAAGTATATGCTGACCAAGATTTCTCACATATTCCCACTTTCATATCGCCCCCCCAAGCAACTACCGACTTCCTTCACCACAAAGGTACACGCGACGCGAGACACATCCAGAACCTCCACGTCCCCACGTGTCACTACCAAACTCAAAACGCGAATTCCCGCACGTGTGCGAGATTTATCCGGAAGTCTCTAAACGGCACCCCTTGTAACCTCCTAAACCCCGCTGGCATTTCGACTTATTTACACCCCACGCCCCTCCCTTCCACTCTTCGCATCCAAAACTCCTCACTTTCCCTCACTTTTCTGTAAAGAATCCCGAGAAACAAACAGGAGAGGTCGCTAAGGATTTCAAGTTCATAGCAAGATGTGGAACCAAGCGTACCGGAAGACTGACGTGGAGGCCGGAGGAGGACCGAGGCCGCTCTACCCGATGATGCTGGAGAGCCCCGAGCTCCGGTGGTCCTTCATTCGCAAAATCTACTCGATCATAGCCATCCAATTGCTCGTCACCATCGCCGTCGCCGCCACCGTCGTTTCGTACCGGCCCGTCGCTCATTTCTTTGTCAGCACCAGTGCCGGCCTTGCCCTCTACATCGTCCTCATCATCTTGCCCTTCATCGGTACGCTTTGTGTTTCAGTAAAGTTGATTTTTTTATTTTATTTTTTTGTGTGAATTCATTTTGAAATTTAGGGTTTTGATTTGTTATTTGGCGGCAGTGCTGTGCCCGTTGTACTATTACCACCAGAAGCACCCGGTCAATTACCTTCTGCTTGGAGTTTTCACCATCTCTCTTGCCTTTATAGTCGGCTTGACCTGTGCGTTTACTAGCGGTCAGTGCTCATAATCTTTTCCTTCGGTGATTGGGTTTGGTTTATATTTCGCTGCATTCTAGTGATTGATTATGAGAAACATTTAATTTTGATGTTTGAACCTCAGGAAATATATGTTTTTTGTAATGCTTAAACCCCAGAAGAAAATTAAACAACCACTAATCTAGGCCTGGAAATATATATTCGGATGATTTAATTCAAGACATACTTAGAATATAATTTTTTGGGGATAGCTGGTTGAATGGGATGGGACCAATAGTTTAAGGAGTTTAATCCAATTGGCTGACAACAACAACATTGTGAATTTTCTGTAATTTGTTCAACTGTGTAAACAGGGAAGGTCATTTTGGAGTCTGTGATTCTGACGGCTGTGGTTGTGCTTGGTCTCACCTTATATACATTTTGGGCTGCAAAGAGAGGCCATGATTTCAACTTCTTGGGACCCTTTTTGTCTGGAGCTATACTGGTCCTAATTGTCTTTGCTTTGATTCAGGTATATGTCATGCTTGTTTGATTGAACCTTCTTGCTCTTGTGAATTCAATGTGCCTTGATTCTATTTGGGTAATTTTTATTTGTTTTTAAACTGTTGGGTTCCTTTTGTTCTTCATATCTGGTTGCAGGTTTTCTTCCCGCTTGGTAAGATCTCTGTGATGATATATGGGTGCTTGGCTTCGATCATATTTTGTGGCTACATTGTGTATGACACTGACAATCTGATTAAACGCTACTCTTACGACGAGTATATTTGGGCTGCGGTGTCCTTGTATCTGGATATCATCAACCTCTTCCTCGCTCTGCTCACTGTTTTCAGAGCTGCTGATAGTTGAGAACTTGGCTGCTTAATGTTTGTTCCCCCATGTAATTATCATCGACGTCGTTATGGTTTAGGAACAATTGTGAATGTCTTAAAATAACTAAACTCTTTATCATTTTACACTGATGAATAGTTGATTTTCATGGAAGATTTTTTGTGCCTGGGAGTATATATGTGTTTGATTGGTTCATTATTTCCATTGAACCAGATTACTGTTTATTCAAATCCACTCAATGTTGCTTTTAGATTTTGGCCAAGT